AAAGTTATTATAAAATATTGACTATATTCCCTGCACTGTACATTACAGCCTTATACCTAGTAGTTTGTGCCTCTTAATTTCCTTCCCCTATCTTGTTCCTCCCCCTATGCCTCTCCCCTCTGGAAACCACTAGTTTGCTCTCCGTATCTATAAGTCTGTTTCTGTTTTGTTATATTTGTTCATTTGTTTTACTTTTCAGATTCTACATATTTGTGAAAACATACAGTATTTGTCTTTCTCTGCCTGACTTATTTCACTAAGCAGAATACCCTCCAGGTCCACCTATGTTGCTACCAATGGCAAAATTTCCTTCTTTTTTATGGCTAAGTAATACCCCATTGTGTATATATACCCCATCTTGTTTACCCATTCATCTGTTGATGGGCATTTAGGTTGTTTCCATATCTTGGCTACTGTAAATCATGCTGCTATGAACATTGGGGTGCATGTATCTTTTCGAATTAGTGTTTTTGTTTACTTTGGATAAATAACCAGGAGTGGAATTGCTGGATGGTATGGTAGACGTGGAGAGGTTTTAAGAGCTAGGGTAGGGGGAATCACAGGCCACCTGTGTTTGCTAATTGGCCGTCACAATTGGAATAAAGTGCCCACCAAAGTCAGGTGCCTACCCTCCCACAGAGGGCAAAAATGCTATCTCCTTTGGTGTGAGATAGAAGTGCTATCTCCTTTGGTGCTTTCATTTCAAAAACATGATTCCCAGGTGCTGGAGAAAGACACTTCCTGGCTTGAATGTCTGGCAAGAGGTTAGAAGATTTGCATACATTTCAAAGGTGCAGGGTAAGAATTTACAAGCGCACATTTTCTAAATTAAATGTTCTTACAAAAGGGAGGTCAGGGGCTTACAGTCAGAAAGAAACCTGTCTAAAGTTCAGTCAAACTGAGGGAAACATGAAGGCCATCTTGGTTGCCCTCTAAGACAATCCACAAATGGACCACAGAATTCATGTCTGCTGCTTGAGAAGGACCCTGAACCCAGTGATACATAAACTTGGAAATTTCAGGTCCCTGGGTACGTACCTTCTTATGAATAGCCCATTGAAGTGAGCTCATAAATGTTTTCCTTTAATGCCCCCACCCCAGAGTATTTTCCTTGATTAATGTTTATTGAAACATTTATGCATCAGTTCGGTGCCAGAGACCATCTCAGGTATGAACAAGGTGGAAACTCCTCCTCAAAGAGACCTCCCAGCATTGAAGGAGACAGACAAGTAAATGAACATCTTAGTTATAATGTGAGAGTTCCTCAGAAGTTAAACATGGAGTTACCATATGTTCCAACAATTCTACACCTAGGTATCCACCCAACAGAAATGAAAACATATGCCCACAAAAAAACATGCACAAGAATGTTCACAGCACCATTATTTATAATAGCCAAAAGGGAGATACAACCCAAATGCCCATCAACCAATGAATGGATAAATAAAATATGGTATATCTGCACAACATGGCATTATTTAGCAATAAGAAGGAATGAAGTATGGATGCACGCTACAACATGGATGACCCTTGAACACTGTATTTGAAGTGAAAGAAGTCAGTCACAAAAGCCACGTAGGGTATGATTCCATTTAGGTGAAATGTCCAGAAGAGGCAAATCCATAGAGACAGAAAGCAGATTAGTGGTAGCCCAGGGCTTTGAGAGTTGGGGAAAATGAGGAGTGACTGCTAATGCGTATGGAATTTCTTTTTGGGGGTGATGAAAGTGTTCTAAAATTGACTGTGGGGATGGGATAGTATATTCACAAAATTACGGTTGTGGGAAAATGAGAAGAACACTGGATTTGACATCAGAAGACCTGGTTTGAATCCACAGATCACTGGACTTGATTTGTCCAATGACACACCCCTTGAACTTTCTCTGTTTTCTCCACCTCACAGAATGATCTTACCATCCATCCACCCAGTTATCCAAACTAAAAACTCAGGAGCCACCTGAAATGCACACCTCCCAATCCATCACTCCCTTGAGCTAATTAGTCATCAAGTCTCACTGATTCTATTTCTTCAATCGTTTTAAATATCTGTCCTCTCCTTTCCTGAGCTTCACTTGGACGAATGCAACAGCCTCCTATAAGTGTCTCCACTGTAGTCTAATCCCTCTCACCCTCCACATCACGGGTGTGGTGTTCCTAAAAAAAACCCTCATGTCACTTCCCTGCTCAAAATCATTCAATGGTTTATTATTGTGTCATGAGAGCAAACACATATACAACGGTCTGTGCATGCCAGGCACTGCTGTAAGAACCATGGATGCATTTTCTCCAATCCTCATATCAATCTGTGTGACAGAGGAGGGAATTGGGCGCAGAGAGGTAAAATGACTTGCCCAAGGCCATGCAGCTGGTTCAGTCCAGAGCTGGGGCTGAACTGGGGGACTGGCCATGGGATATGTGCTTACAGCTGTCATACTAGTCTCACAAGGATGGATGCCAGACACCTTACACTGTGACCTAGGCCCTGGCTACCTCCAGCCCCTCCGTGTGCTCCTGTGCTCTGCTATTGCTCATTGCCTGCAATTTCTCAAAAGGTCTTCATTTCTCTGGGCCCTTTGACAATGCCTTCCGTCTAACCGGGCTCTGGAAACCCTCATCTTTCAAGCTTCATCTCGGCCATCAGTGCTTCTTTAAAGTCTTCCTGACCTTCCCCCAACCCCCATGACCCCTATAGATGAGTATCCTGAAGCTGTTTCCATATTGTGTAATATACGTGTATGTACACGTTTTTGTTGTTTAATATTTATATATTTGGTTGCGCTGGGTCTTAGTTACGGCAGGTGGGCTCTTTAGTAGTGGCATGTGAACTCTTAGTTGCGGCATGCGTGTAGGATCTAGTTCCCTGACCAGGGATCGAACCCGGGCCCCCTGCATTGGGAGTGTGGAGTCTCAACCACTGCGCCACCAGGGAAGTACCCTATACACGTGTTTTTGTAATAGCTTTTTTGAGATGTTGATCACATACCATGCAATTCACCCACGTAAAGTGTACAATTCAATGGGTTTTAGTATATTCATAAAATTATAGTTCCATTAGAATCATGCTTTTGCCTTGAGGTGGGTGGCTTGTTATACTCTGGGGTATGATGTCACGAGGAGGCCACCTCTGCAGCACAGCCAGGTGCAGTGAGCAGCCCCAGAGGTGGGCAAGCTGAAGGTGCAAAATGAAAGAGGGTGGGAAGTGTAGACACCAAAGGGTCTAGAGGGAGAGAAAGCTCTGGAAGAACTGATTATACTTTGACACCAGCCATGGCCAGACCATTCCTTGGAGCACATCAGTGTAGCCGATAGAAATCTCAGGCCACCAGCCGTGGTATGTAAGAAATGTAAGCTTGTATTTCCAGAACAAAGCTTACACCGCATTGCAAGCTTCCATCCTCCATTCAGTGAATTCTGGATCTCCTGCCCTTTTCTTCTGGGCTGGGTCTGAGAGAACTTCCTAGGGCTTGAGATTCTTCCCTAAGCCTTTCTGCGTGGACAGTGGATGCACAGTGTCCGACCTGAGGCGGAAGGTACTTTGGAAACGTTGGGCAGATTTACTAAAAGCTGGTGAGCGTGTGACTAGCACAGGTGCCTGGCTTAGAGTAGGTGTTCGATAAATATTCATGGTTGAAATGAATGGAACTAAAAAAGGCAGCAAGAAGAATTAGTGTATCAAGGATGTCACAGGTATTTCACACACCCACTTTCTCACCCACAAGTCCCATCAACATCGCTCTGTCTCCTGGCCCTTCCCTCTTTCAAGTGACAGCTAGTCAACCTGACAGATGAATCCTTGCTGATGTGTCCTCATGGGTACTGCCCCTCCTGGGTTGATCATGCAGAACCCACCTGCACCTGGTTAAGTGAGGTCAGTCAGTGTTGAAGGGGAGCCCTCTGTGTGCTCACAGCCACCGAGGGCTGGCAGAGGTGTCAGTCGCACTTCCCTCCACCGGAAAACAACCCATTTATTTTGTTTGCTGTGCCTTGCTTATTTTTCTGCTATTAACATTCTTTTCCTGCCAATGGTCCAAGTACATGTGGGATGTTACTACGTGTCTAATGAAAGGGGAGCTTCATGTGGGTGGGTCTAGGGATGGTCAGTATTAGGACAATTCTAAACCATGCCCAAAGGCAACTCTTTGGATGGTTCAAAATACATGACAGTGTCAAGAACAAAGCTCCTAAGGGACTGGGTTCTGATGGCCCCGTAGGGCTCGGATTCCATCAGCATTCCCATTTCTGGGAATGCATTTCCTCCCCTACACGGGGTGTGCCCTGAGAAGCGTGCCCAGGGGAGGGGCTCTTTACACACTGTGCTCCGCCTCTCTCCCGTGGAAGGCTGACTGCCTCTCTTTCTCGAAGTCTTGAAAGGGCTCTGGGGCCCCAGGCCAAGCAAGGGGTCTGTGCTTTGCTTGACAGTGAGCATCAGCTGGGGACACATGTCTGTCGGAATGGCCCACGTGTCCATGCCACAGTCACACTAAGGGGGGCTCTTCCAGCCTTTACGGTCCCTCCTGGCCTGACAGCTGAGTCGAAGTCCCCCATTGAGCGCCCCCCCACCGCCCCCCGCATGCTTCAGCTTCCAAGACTAGAGTCCCCACCTCCCCTGAAGCAGATGCCAGGGGCTCTTTGAAATTTGCCCTTGGTCTTTGGGATCCTGACTCTGAGGCTGGGCATTCCAATAGCAACTCCTTGGGTGCGGATCTTGGAAAGGCCACTTCAGAACTGTCCTGGCTGAGGCTCCGATGACAGACTCTGCTTCTGTGTGGTTTGCAAGGTGCCAGAAACATCTCCGGTGCTCTGGCAGGCGCGGCCAATGGAAGTCGTGGCCGGGACCCCTCCCACTCCCCCTCCCTGCCCCTCTCAGTGGCATCCCAGCCTCCTGCCTCTCTCTCTCTCTCCCTCCGGATCTGCCTGACACAGAAGTGAGGACCTGGCAGCCTCAGGATCTGTAGAACCCTGTGTCTGCAGTTCCCAGACAGAGCCTCGGCCTTTCCAAAGATGGCCTGGAGGCAGCTGTTCCTGATCTCCTGTCTCTCGGCCGTTGTGCTCCTGTCCAGTGAGTATGCGGAGGCCCCAGGATGGCCTTGGTGTTAGGTGAGGCTGCTCAGGTGGCCCAGGTAGAGGGGGTACCTACTGTTAAGAAGGCTGTACCTGGGTGTGTGTGTTTGTGTGTGTCTGTGTGTATAACACAACACAGTACAGAGAAACCAGCACGCCTGGTGGTTTCTTGGGGAAGTTGACTGTGTGGCTGGTATTTGAGGCATCCAGTCTCCAGGGCAAGTCACAGCCCTGGGAAAGACTGTCCCGGCCTGGCTCAGGGTGAGGGCTCCTTTTGGGGTGTGGCAGCCCTCACGCTGTGCTCTCGTCCCACAGTCCTGCGGGAGGGGACTGCTGTGGCGGTGGGCACCAGGCGGTTGGCAGGACAAGAGGTGCAGGAAGGTGAGTGCCGGGGCCACCCAGGGGGCTCCCGAGGTAGCCCTGGTGAGCATGTGCCGGTTGTGACCGGCTTCTCTCGGGTTTCAGGCGTGGAAGGGAAGATCTTCATGCAGGAATCAGATGCCTTGAATTTCCTCAAGAAGCGAGGCAAGCGGTCCCCCAAATCCCGAGAAGAGGTCAATGGTAAGGATGCTGTTGGCCTGCCTTCTGCTCTTGCCTTGTGTTCCTTCTCTCCCCCACAGTCAGCCGGGCGGCGGGCACCGCCAGGGACCAAGGGCTCAACCTAAGCCCTCGGGTCTTAGGGACTGCAGCTCTGAATTAGAAGTTACATCACATTCCCTCGACTGTAGGGCCACACTGAATGCACTTAACTGCTGGATTGCATCTCAATTTCTGACAGTTAAAAATGTTAAGGTCGGGGATGGGTGGCACTTCCCTGGCGGTCCAGCAGTTAAGACTCCCTGCTTCCACTGCAGGGGACACAGGTTCCATCCCTGGTCGGGGGACTAAGACCCTACATGCCGCGTAGCGAGGCCAAAAAAAAACATGTTAAGGGGAAAATCTATGTTCAGTGGAGAGGGGACACAATAGCTCAGTGTGTGCTTTCCGGGTAATTCATGGTGCACCCTACCGGCAAGACAGCAGCACCGTAAGCAGGGAGGAGGGCACATAGGACCGGGAACTGGAAATGTGGGTTTGGTGACAGCTTTGCTGCTAAGTGGCCTTGACCACTTCTTCTCCCTGGGCCCGTTTCCTTATTTATAAGCCCCTGAAAGAGTGGTGTTCAGCCAGCAATGTTTTTTTTTTTTTTTCTAGTTACTTTTTTAAAACACCTTTACTGGAGTATAATTGTTCTACAATGGTGTGTTAGTTTCTGCTGTATAACAAAGTGAGTCAACTATACATATACATATATCCCCATATCCCCTCCCTCTTGCGCCTCCCTCGCTCCCACCCTCCCTATCGCACCCATCTGGGTGGTCACAAAGCACCGAGCTGATCTCCCTGTGCTGTGCGGCTGCTTCCCACTAGCTATCTATTTTACATTTGGTAGTGTATATATGTCCACGCCACTCTCTCACTTCGTCCCAGCTTGCCCTTCCCCCTCCCCGTGTCCTCAAGTCCATTCTCTACATCTGCCAGCAGTGTTTTTAAAAGTCTTCACTTCCAATGCATTTGGGAGGCTTTTGAGCTCAGAAGTATGTCTCCTTCTCAGCCTGAAGTAGGCCCTGGTATCCCCTGCTTGGCAGAGACCCTCATTTCCATGACCTGCCGACTCTTGAAGGGATTTGAGTTCTCTGTCCTTGAACTAGATTCTTCCAAGGACTCAGCTCTGACAGACTCTGAATCCAAGGCTTGATTCATTACTTATGTGTCTGTCTGAATAAACCCTTTGTGCCTCTCAGCACACTCAGCAAGGTAACTTGCTCAGTGAAAAGAACAGGACTGTTTTCAAATGATGGGCAAGAAGTGAGATGAAAATGCTTGGAGATGAAATTCCCTTTTTTTTTTAAGTGGAGAAGTGCAACCACACTGGGAAAATCTCCAGGCCTCGCACAATTTGGGATTTAAAGGTTAGCAAGTGTCAAGAAACAGTGAAAAGACTGATGGAGTTTGGGCAGTTCTTGACGGAAATGAGAGAAGCAACCTTTTGGCAGACTCCCAGCGGGGAACGTGCAGGAATTTAAGAGGCAAATAGTTTCCATTCTCTAAGTGGATTCAGAACAATGAGATGCATGATTAAGCCAGAGGTCTGTAACCCAGGTTGGAAGCTCGGGGTTTCAGTCGTGGGAACCCAGGACAGCCTGGTGAACACCTAGGATGCACCTGAGTTAATCTATTGTTACCTGGTCAACTCCGGTGATGGGTAGAACAATGCCCAATTATGTCTGAGGTTCAGTAAAGGCAGGCAACACTTTGATAAACTTGAATCTGGAACCAGAAAACAGGCAATTCCTATCTCTAAGCTTCTGTCAGACTAAAGATGTAAAGGTGTGAGGGCAGAAATGGATGAACCTAGAAACTTATTTTACGTTGGAAAATCTAAAATCTAGAGAGGTTTTTTGAGGGGGGCTACATTAGAGCAGATAAGGGACAGCTGCACCTGCTGGTGAGATGTGACCTGGTAGGTCAGGTAAGGTTCCCTCTGGTAAGCTTCATGTTCAACAGCCAAGGAATGTTTACGTGTTCTCAGTGACAGTTTTCAGTTATCACTGGGGGTATTTCTCCAACCAGAGGTGTACCTTCAGCTTTATAATGTGAAACTGGGACTCATAAAAAAGTTTACAGCCAACTTTACTGGAATGCATTGCCTCACAAACTAAGGGATACCTGAGGTTGGTATTTTCATCATCAGGGAGCTCACCTGATCACCCCATATCCTGTACTAGTTATCTACTGCTGTGTAACAAATGAGCCCCAAATTTAGCAGCTTAAAACAACGAACATTTATTGTCTCAGTTTCTGGGGTCTAGGCCCAGCTTAGCTGGTGGCCTCAGGCTCAGGGTCTCTATGGGCTGTAGCCAAGGTATTGGCTGGGGCTGCATTCATTTCAAGGCCTGATTGGGAGAAGATTCGCTTTCAAGCTCACGCACATGGCTGTTGGCACACCTCAAGTCCTGCGGACTACTGGTCAAGGACACCAGTTCCTGCCATGAGTGGGCCTCTCCACAGGACAGCTTACAACATGGCAGCTGGCTTCCCTCCAAGCAAGAGCAAAAGTGAGAGATAGATAGACAGACAGACCGAGGAACCCAAGACGGAAGCCAGTCTTGTTTGTAACTTAATCTCAGAAGTCATATCCCATCACTTCTGTCATATTTTGCCCATTAGCAGTGAGCCACTAGGCCAATCCACACAAGGGGAGAGAATCACCTAAGGGCATGAATATCAGGATCATCTTAGATTCCCTGGACGACAGCCATCCTTATGCCCCATGGCAATTTCTATCACAGCAGCCATAATGCTGGGTGTAATTCATTTTCATATCTTTCTCCTTAAGTGGATCACAGGCCTCTTAGGCAGAGGGACAAAATCTTTCTTACTTGACTTTTTAATCCCAGTGCTTAGCATATATTCTGGCCATGATAGGAGTGCAAAGATGCTGAACGGACTTGCAGGTTAATTAATGTGAAATTAAGTTGGATTATTCCCTCATAGAATTCATTTCTATCATAAAATTCCTAGCTTCTAAGAGGCCCAGCATGCTTGGATACACCATTCATTTTACACCTGGAGCTAAATGGCTTCACCTTTGGGGGGGGTCTGTCCTCTCACTCACAAAACGAGGCAGTTGGATGGGATGCTCCCCCACGTCCCTCAGGTTTTAAAGTCTGTGTCAGGAGTGAACCATTTCAGTGAAGCCCCACTCTTAGCCCCTCACAAACAGCCCCTTCCGCACCTGATTAAGTTTCTCAAGCAGAATGATTAGTGTCCCCCTAAATGTGTGCGGCTGCCCCTATTCTTGGGGACAACTCTCGCCTCTTCCCCTCCCCCAGCGGAGAACAGGCAGAAACTGCAGACGGATGAGCTACGGAGAGAACATTACGAGGAACAAAGGAACGAGTTTGAGAACTTCGTGGAGGAGCAAAACGATGGTAAGAGCTCGTCGGCCAGTGACTTTGGGGAAGTGGAGCTTTGCAGGAGAACCATGTGATTTGCCTGTACTTATCCCTAAATTTTAGCTAAAGGAGGGAGGTAAGAGGAGGTCTACTTTCAATTCATATCTATGGGAGTCTCAGAAAAACAGGGAGAAAGTCACAAAAGGGGCTACAGAACTTGAGAAGAAATGGAAGAGGACAGAACACCACTGGCTTGGAGACTGTGGGGCTGGGGGAGTTTTTGGTTGATCGTATTTTCTCCTCCTACTTGGGTGTGTTCTGTCTTAGCACCTGCACTCCTGGCTTAGTTCCAGTTAGAGTTGAGTGGGGAGGATTTCAAACTCACTTTCAAGGGCCTTGGATTTCCATCAATGTCATGGCTCTAGGAACTGCCCATCCTGGAAAACCTAGGCCTTCATTTACCTAGTTATTATCATCAGCATCGGGTGACCAGTGGAAGCAAACCAGGACAAGTGAACGCAGAAGGCTCCGGTCATGGGGACCTGCTCTGTACCCTCCCCACCTCCAGCGTCAACATCTACAGCCCACAGGGCGGCTCCCCTCACCCAGAGCAAGTTTTTACGGGGTTTGCGTGTTCCCTCACCCAGGGGGCCGCGAGCGTCTTGTTTGCAAAGCCTTGACCTTTGCCTCTGTGTCTCTCACCAGACAGTCAGCACACCTCATCCCCACCCTCTGGCCTTGGGAGACAGGGCTCCAGCTTCCCCCCAGGAATGTTGGTTTCAACCAGGCCTCTGGGTGTGGGGGAAGGGGGAGGGGGAGGGAGGCTCTGTCTTTGAACCCCAGCCTCCCATGGGGGATGGGATTCCACTTGGTATCTATTAAGTGCCCTCAAGGGTCACCTATAGCAAAAAATCCATAGAGCAGGGTAATAGGGATCAGACCAGGCAGGCCAATGTGTGTTTTTATTCCTTTTTTGGTCTCTTCCGAAACTTCAAGATTGAAATGCTTCCTAGTAAGTTCCTGGATGCAGGTGAGCTTGGACATAAGACCCCAGTTAAGGTGACCTTTGTTAGAGAGAGTCTGCAATTTCAGTTCCCAAGCTGTCAACCCCTCGCTTGCCTGCTCTGGTGGATTTGGGAGGTAATATGCCCTTAGGGCACCTCTTAGTGGAAAGGACACCATCACCACGTATCAGGGGGCTGCAGGCCATGCCCATGGCCTTGCGGGTGGCACCTGGCTGAGCCCTGCAGACAGGTGTTGGGCAGGATCCCAGCAAATCAAACATCCTGGGGAAAGCTCAGACTGTTGTAATTCAGAGGCAAATACTTCTGTTAAAGATTTGTTTACCTTGGTGGACAGCTTGGGGAGAAGCATTTAAAAAATGAGAATGTGGCCTCTAAAATTCCTTCACTGTGTTTTTTTTAACTCATAGTATTTTTTTTTTTTTTGCGGTACGCGGGCCTCTCACTGTTGTGGCCTCTCCTGTTGTGGAGCACGGGCTCTGGACGCGCAGGCTCAGCGACCATGGCTCACGGGCCCAGCCGCTCGGCGGCATGTGGGATCCTCCCGGACTGGGGCACGAACTCATGTCCCCCGCATCGGCAGGCAGGCGGACTCTCAACCACTGCGCCACCAGGGAAGCCCCTAACTCATAGTAGTAAGAGCAGCATTTTATTTTGTGCATTTTTAAATGTTTCAGGCCCAAATCCCTAGCATCTGGATGAAAACCATTCCCTGTTTTCCCTCCCACGATGGATTAGGATGAGGGGTTAGGCTAGGCACCTGAGGGATGCCAGGTCCTCCACCAAAGACAGAGGAGACTAAGGTCAGGGGCCTCAGGCCTTGCCCATTGAGGAAGAGGCTGCAGGGCAGGGCACAGGCCTTCGGGGACTGTAGTGACAGCAGCCGTTGTCACTGGTTGAGCACTTGCCCTGCCAGACACTGTACTGAACCACATAATCCTTACAACCAGCATCTCAGGTCTTACAATTTCCGCTTTACAGTTTTAAAAACTCAGGCTTAGAAAGGATACATGAATAACCAAGGTGACGTAGGTAGAGAAGGATTTAAATGAAGGTGAGTTTGCCAGCAAAGCCCATGTTTTTGTACCGAAGGAAGACCAAATGCGTAGAGGTCTTGGAGAGGTTCTTCAATCCAAGGATTGGCCCATGAGGATGGAGGGAGGGAGGGGGTAATGCAGAGCGGCTCAGCGGGGGTTGCCCCCCCACCCCCACCCCAAACTTGATGAAAGAAGGAGAGGCAAAGAGGTGCAGGGGGTCCAGCCTGGCCGAGGGTAAACGCCGACAAAGGTGAAACTCACTTCAACTTCCCCCCTTCCCTTGCCTCTGCCCTGGAACAGACCATGCACAGAGGCCAGGTTGCCGGAAACCTCCACCGTAAGCAGCGCTCAGAGCCCTTCTCTGAGGTGCCCACATTCCCCGTCGGTCAGGACCCCGGGTTTGGTTAGCTCTCTTGATTGACAACGTCACCTATTCTCACAATACTGGGGAGCAGCGGATGATCGCTCTCTCCCCGAGGTACTTGCTGCATAAAAGCGAATGCTGATAGATACCACGGGTGACGGGAAGGAATTGGGTTTCCAGTGGAGGAATTTTAGGCAGGTGGTCTGAAGGGAGATTTCTGGACACCAGTGACCTTGCTGAGGGCCTGAAAACCACACCTTAGTCAAAGGCCCCTCTACCAACCCACCCAGGACACTGGCCCTTGTCTGGGGAAGTGGGAGGGGCGTGGTTAGAGTCTCACTCGGCTCTGTCATGGCTCCAGCTTGTAACTCTACTCAAAACCATCAACTTCAAGGCAAAAATAACTGAGTTCTGCCTCCAAAAGCTCAGGATAAACAGTGTTGAACTCCCACTTCTAAGGCCTACGTGGTAGCAGCCCAGGTCTGCTTCCACCTTCAAAGCCGGAAGCCCGGGTCAGGCCATCCCAGGCTGGCTGCACAACGCCTTGCCACAAGTGGTTTCTACAGGAAGGCTACAGTGTCCAGGCCTTGGGTCTTTACCAGCGAGACCTTCCCTTTGTCTAAATGAAATGGTCTAAGAAGAGTTCAGCATGACCTGGGAAGAAAAAATCAACTTTTATGTCAAAATCATGCTCTCAAGATTGGCCAAGGGTAGCTGCTCTACATGGCCTGAGAAAGGTCTGAATGGCCCAAGGCTAACAGCCTGGGCTGACTCTGAGCTCCAGGTTTCCTCTGAGGAACCAAGTCCCTAAGAGGATTCTCAGCACCCAGGGTAGCGCCGACCCCAAGCTCACATAGAAGGAAACATACCCAGCAGACATGGCTCCTGAACACCCCGTGGTCACAAGGGCCCTTCCTGTTGCGGGCACCTGGCTCTCACAGGTGCTAAGGACCATGGGGACACCCACTTCCTCCACATCCTGAAGCCACCAGGCTGTCCTGTTTGCCCAATGCCACAGAGGATGTGTGTCACTAGCACCAAGTCAGGGTCACAGGCTTTTTGGTGAAGCCCACATTTGAGAAAACAGGCAAGGAAGACATTTTGAGTTTTGAATCCTTGCTATTACCTTCTATTAACTTTCTATCCTCTCAACATTTTCTCCAAATACTCAAAAAAAAAATTGTGGTAAAATATCTAGAACACAAAATTTGCCACCTCACCTATTTTTAAGTGTACAATTCAGTGGCATTTAGTACATCCACAACCATCACCATTATTTATTTCCAAACCCCTTTAATCACCTCAAACAAACTTTGTATCCATTATGCATTAACTCCCCTCTCCCCACAGCCCTGGAAACCTCTAATATATTCTCTATCTGTACGAATTTGCCTATACTACATATTTCATAGAAGAGAAATCACATAATATTTGTCCTTTTGTGTCTGGTGTATTTCACTTGGCATGTTTCAAGGCTCATTCATGTTATAGCACATATCAGAATTTCATTCCTTTTTATGGCTGAATAATACATACAGACATATCTATACATTCCTGTCTGTCTGTCTATCTATCTATCTATTATCTTACAATCTATTCATCTATTCTTGTTTTAAGAACGGCTGGGTTAATGGTAATTCTGTTTAACTTTTTGAGGATGCTTTTTAAACACCGATAGCCTTGGGATATCTGCTCGCGCTTTAACGCGACAGTGAGTGTACCTAACAGTGAGTGACAGGCTGTCTTGAATTGGCATCAGGAGCCTAATTCTATAGCTTCACAAAGGTGTTATTCAGAAACATGTCTTATCAAAGACAGAAAAATCAGGACTTTCTTACTCATTAAAAACGCCCTTCTGCTCTTTTTAGCCTTTACTATGAAACATTTCAAACACATGGAGAAGTACATAGTATAACAAACTCTCATATAACCATCACCCAGAATCAGGGATTATCAAGATCTTCCTGCACTTGCTTCACCCACCCCTTTCCCCAGTTAGCTTTAAAAACATAACTTTATTTTTAAAGCTAAGAAACAGTAAGAAGGAACACCTTACTCATAATCCCATCACTCGAAATTGACAATCATTTCCATGAGTTTTTCAACAGTATGGTTTGCAGTCTATTTTTCTGCTGCTGTGATTTTGGATTCTGTCTTAGTTGGTGTGTCTCTGGGCCACTTTCTGCACGCGGCTCTTTGCCCTTCGCTGGCTGTACAGGGAAGGAACACTGAACTGAATGCAGGACCCCGATCTCTGCTCTCTTGGCAATCAGCTCTGTGACGCTCACCTATCTGGGCCCCATCTGTATTAAAATGAGGCCTTTAGATTCGGCATCCTCTCAGGCCCTTCCAGCTGGGATTCTATCTGTCATCCATGCACGCAGGCACAGTGGTTCATGTCACGTGTCACAGGCGGCGGCGGGGGCAGGGGGCTTTTGGGCGGCGGCGGGGGCAGGGGGCTTTTGGGCGGTGGCTGCCGCCAGATCAGAGCCCTCCATCCTCACACGACGACTTCATCTCTCGTCCCAGAACAGGAAGAGAGAAGCCGGGAGGCCATCGAGCAGTGGCGCCAGTGGCATAGTGACGGCCTGTACCCACCCTATCTCTACAACCGCCACCATATCTGACCTCAGCCCGATGCACCCAGAAGAATGGCACTTGACAAACCCGCCCACCCTCGGTATTCGGGCACCTCTTTTGCATACAAACAGGCCCCTTCCCAGGGCCTCAGCCTGGGGCCTTCTGTTCTCATGAATGGAAACGCCCTGGCTTGCGCTTCTGGGCAGGTGAATTTCTGAGGTGAGCCAAGGCCTGTGGGGCATCACCCCTATGGTGGTTTCCCACTGCTTCACCATGGTTCCCACAGTGAGACTCCTGGCCCATAGAACAATGAAAGAATCACAGTAGAGAGAAAAGACCACGTGTCTGCTTATAGTTTATGAATAAAAACGCTGAGTCAACGCTCTGTACCGTCTTCTTGAATTTCACACTGAGCCGCACCAGCTTGTCCCTCCCAGGTGACACTGAGCCTCTCCCGACTTGGGTGTCGGGAAGCTTGGACTCAGGAGCACTGCTCACTATTTCCGCAGCCTGTCTCAGCAGTCACGTGACTGGAAGGGACCTGCTAATGCAACTGTTTGGGAAAAACCAATCTCCAAAGCCCAGGTGCTTCTCATGTCTCTGAAAAAAGTCTTAAGGTTCAATGGTGGTTTCTTAATGGCATCACTCAGAGGCCAGGGTAAGAGCAAGGCCAGCTGTAACCAAAACTAGACAGCAGATAAGGTTTAGTTTTAGTATCATCTCCTTTTTCTTCATAGTATTAATTTGCTAGAGCTGCCATAACAAAGTGCCAGACCTGGGAGGCTTAAAACAATGAACATTTATTCTCTCACAGTTCTGGAGGTTAGAAGTCTGAAATCAAGGTGTGGGCAGGGCCACACGCCCTCCTAAGGCTCCAGGTGAGGGTCCTCCCTTGCCTCTTCCAGCTTCTGGGAGCTCAGCTGTTCCCTGGCTTGTGGCAGCGTCACTCCAGTCTCTGTCGTCACTGTCACTTGGCCTTTTCTCCCCATGTCTCCACACACTCTCCCCTCTGTGTTTCTGTGTCTCTTCTTATAAGGACAACAGTCATTGAGTTAAGGGCCCACCCTACCAGTCTCACTAACTTGATTATATCTGCAAAGACCCTATTTCTAAATAAGGTCAACACTCACAGGTCTCAGGGGTTAGACTTCTGCATATCTTTCTGGGGAAACAATTCCGCCCATAGCAGTGCCCTTTCTTCTGTCCCAAGGGCTCTGCCTTCCTGCCCCAGACTCTGCACGAGGCTGCTTCCAGCCTTGCTTCCAACTGCCTTCAGGAATTCCACACTAAGAACGCAGAAAACTCAAGAACAGCCTAAGTGGGCACCCCTGTGGGGTCAGCTCTTGAAGACAAAGCAGACTGTGGGTGAAGAATGAGCACCCACTCCTGGCCACCTCCCCGCCCCACTCCTGGGCCTTGTGCCTCCGCCTTGACTTGGGTCCCAGGCTGGCTGGTCCAGCCTGCTTTGGAGGCTGGGTTTCCAGAACAGTAAAGGGCAACTTTGTTTCGAGGAAAAGCTGCTCAACTGTAGTAAAATCCCCCACCAGAGGTGGAACAATTAACTAGATCTGGACACTGTGCAATGAATGCAAAGTAATTTTTTAAAACACTGGGATAAAATCTTTAAAAACATTTAGTGATCAAGCAATTATGCACATTCCAAGCCACCTCATGTAGAGCCAGCACTTTATCTGAAACCAGGTTGTCAGTGAACACCCCACCTACAAGATCCACGTTTTCCCACTGGCCAACCCCTGCCTTTGGGCCTGTCTTCAACAGACAGGCTCTTCAGGAAGCCCGCTGTCCCCCACGGCTCCCACTACAAGTACCAGGACCTTCAACTTAGAAGGTGATAGCAGTGGAAGAAACTGGCATGAAATAAAAACTCTGCAGGTGCCTCAATATTTCATTACTGTTTTTTCTTATTACCTGATGAGACTGAAATTATTTGGGAGGAATGAGTATTCCAAAGTTTTGGAGCGTAAAGCTGAACAGACCAAAACGGAGCTCTGCTATTTGTCCTCCATCTCTGTGATCTCTGGTTTACACTGAAGAAAACAGTCAGCTTGAGGGGAACATAGGTCAGAGATGGTCCTCTCTGAACTACAGGGCAGGAGCCTCACACACGCATCCCACCCGCTTCCTACCTCGCCCTTGAAAAGAGCAGAACAGGGAGCCTTAGCAAACGGGCCAGACAGACCCCCTGGTCCAGGGTCTGTGCTCTTGGGGTCGGGGCCCCTCATGGTACCCGGCCACACACACAGATGAGAAATTCTTGCTACATGTATGTAGGAATCACAGTGCCTCTGCTCAGCTCGGTTACTCGGAGAAGCGAGAGACAGGGTTGTCATGGGGCAGGTGCAAGTTCTGCTGACTGCTAGCTCAGGTCCTGAGTCAGGGCTGCCAGCTGCTGGGCCAGCAATCCAAGTGGGCCTGTGCTCTACCCGCATGAAATGCCCTCTTGGTTGACCAGCAGCCAGATGCCAAGCCAGAAGATCCAGCCCCTGACCCTTTAGGTTGGTAACCCCAACTGACGAGGGTGTGCGTGTGTTTTCACACACCCAGATGTACAACAGAGAAAAGGCAAAGCACTGCTCTCTCACCTCAGCCAGGAAACAAAGGAGCCACAGTCTGGCTCATATGGTGACAATCACACACCCAACGCCTTCTGACAGGAGGGCCAGGAACCAGGTGCACGGCAGCCGATGGAGTCTGACCCAAGGCCATACTCTGCAGCCACCTGGCTCAAGAAGCCTGCTGCTTACACAGGAGGGAACGCCAGGGCCATATAGATGTCAAATACCAAGAATGGTCTCGGTGAGTGGCCAGTTTAAAAGAAAAACAGCCTTTCCTTGTTTGTTCAAGAGCCAGGCTTGGCATGTCAGCTCTAGATAAAGAATTCTGGCAGAAAGAAGAATTCTATTACCTCGTTCTACCCCATCCTTAACAAGGGCCCCATTATACCTCAGGGTTTTAGAATTCCTTCCCTCAGAACCAATTGCAGCCATTTCCTGGGTAGGGACAAGGATGCCAAAGGAAACATGACCGGAATCGGGGTAGCTGAATTTCATAGGAATTAGTAACGGAGGATCTATATTTTCAGAGATAGGCTTTGTCAAAAGGGTGGCCTTTGGGACATTCTTCAAACTAACTATTCTCTGTTCTTTCCTTACCATCCCCAAGTCCTTTAGGGGTTCCAGGAAAGTGGTTGAAAACAAATTTTGTCAAACGATGAATTGGTGAAAACTCGTTATTTTTTCCACTAATTCTGTATGTTGTCATTTTATTTTCTTCTTCACCTCTCCTTCTTTTATTTTTTGAGAGTGTGTGTGCTACAGGGGAGATTTTGTAACTTATTATCATGTGCCTTTGTTTACTTAGATTTCTGGAAGGAGGTGGTAATTTTCCTAAGACCCAAAATGATTAAAAATTTTTTTTTAAAAAGTGTCATATGCTTTTTAAAAAAATTTAGTTGGGAAAATTCATTTCTAATTCCTTTTCAACCATTACGTTCTAATTCTTTGGCAAGTTTTTCATAATTTAAAAGTTCTTAAGGGATCTGTCCAAAAGCAGATTGGTTAAGTATGGATATTCTAGTTCACAACTGTAACTGGTATACTCTGTGATCTTACAGTGTACTACCGCTTTAAAAAAAGTTTTGTCCACTTTCCACATTATTTTGATTTTTTTAATTAAAAATATTGTGCATAGGTAATGTATACACATGATTTAAATTTTTCACAGGACAAAAAAAAATTCAATATCCTTTCCCTGTCTCCCAAAGAAAACCATCATCCCCAAGTCTTGAGCATCCTTCAAGTGACCTGTGCACATCTAAGTATCCAGCTATATTTCTTTTCCATTTTTATTTTTAAACTTTAAAATTCATTTTTGACCAGTGATGCCTACTTTACATATTAAACTTATTTTCTACCACTGAAAATCTGTATAGTAATTTACAGTTAAGCAGTTTTCATAAAGCCTTCTTAAAGAGAAAGCTTCCTATGGGAACGGCGATATTTGAGGGGACATGACTGAAAAGAACACTGATTTAATACATAAAGCAAAAGTGAAAAATATTTTTCTAGATAATTTCTCATTAATTTAGACCTTGTAATAATGAGTTACAAATAACACACTAGTGAGCCTGAACCATTTAGTGTGTAGGCTCCCAAATTAAAAACTTTCTAAATAAAATGACAACGTCATTAATATGAGGCAGTGAGGTCCGGGAGCCTTCGAGTATGATTTTATTAGCTCGTGTTTGGTTGTTTATCATGTACCCAGCACAGAATTGTAGTAGCAAGGTGCAAGATATTTTCTATTTTGTAAGCGGATTTAGATGATAAAAAACCCAAATATACCATTAGATTGGTCCCTTGAAATCCCTGCTGAAAAAAAGAGAATAGTACATTCCTTTAGTAAGTCACTGAAGACAGCTTTTCTTGTACATTTAACTCAAAATGCACGAATGACACACAACTGGACACTACTTTTGTTTTGGCATGATTAATAATTATGTAATAAAGTCAGCATCACCACCTGAAAATGTACTTAGCTCAGGACTTGAATCCACTTCCTCCTCTCAAGGTTGAGCCCACTAATGCTCAATTCATAACATCACTCCAGGGAATATAAGAGAAGACAAACAGAAAAACCACACCATTATTTAGAGATCGCATCCAACCTTACTCAAAATACTTCCTTGACATTTAATGGTGAAGGAAAATGCTTTCCTCCTCAGACTGGGAACAAGAAAAAAAAGTCATACAGACAGGAAATGAAATGTTAAAACTTCTCAGGCAACAAGATCCCATATGAAAACCCTAAGCTGCTATACTAGTAGGTAAGTTTGGCATGGTCCCAGAACACAAGGCCAATAGACAAATATGCATTGTATTTCTGTATACTAGCATGTATGCAGAATAATAATTGGAAATTAAAATGGAAAAAAATACCGTTTATGACACCATCAAAACTATTTAAAAATAAAGACAAAATATATATACAATCTGTACACTGAAACCACTAAACATTGCTGAGAAAA